AAAAAATTTAATTATTCATATTTTATATAAAATATATATTTTCAAAACCTGGGCGACTCTAAAACTGCAAAAAAAATCAAAGCCAAAAATCTGAACAAGTTGTGTTTCAAATTTTAGGTTGATATCTCAAAAAATGAGCTTTCAGTAAGATTTTGTTTGGGCGCAGTACCAAACTTTTTCACTAGATGACAACCAGACTCCATTACTGCCCATATAAGGGCGCCTCCATTTCCATATGTGTTTTGAATGATATGAACCATTATTTCCACAATTTTCATACAATTTATGAAGTAGACATCCTATTCAGAAGTAATATGAGAAGTTTGGCAGATTTTGATATGATTTCAACCTCTAAGAAACATAAAAAGAACACGCATGTGCGTTTTAGCTTCCTGCCTCATCATATAATTTTTTTCTTTATATAAAAAAAAAAATTCAGACCTTTTTTTTTAAATAATTGAATGGATGCTATCTTTTGAACTCTTGGAATGAAAACAAACTGAGGTTTCTACCCTTCTTTCATGATTTTTCATGTTCATCACTATTTCAAAATAAAGGTCTAAGAGTATGAAAATATTATTGTTGCAAATTGATAAATTACGGCTCCTCTGTAATTTATTTTGAAAATCAATCACCAAATATGGAAACTAGAGATTGTAAGCTTTCAAATGATATATAGTTTGTCAAGATTAGTTTAGGTTTAGTATAGGATAGGGGTGTGACGAGACGCTTATCTCACGAGACGAGACGAGACACGAGATTGGGTTCACGAGAACGAGACGAGACGAGATTTTTGCACAATTTTTCAGAAATCCTCAATGACAAAATTCATGACTGGAAAAATAGCATGCAGGTGCATTTTTCAATGTTTTAACTAATAATCTTCTAATGCATGTCATTTCAGGTCTACTTTATGAGTATGAATTATCAAATGCATTGAAAGAAAACAATATTCAAGCACTGTAAAAGGTTTTTATTGACTGGCTTTTCTCCTGTATGATTTCACATTAGTCTCTTCAGACCTTACTGTACATTTAAGAGCTTTCAGAACTTCTGATTGAGGCTGTGTGTGACCTCCTAACTGAACTCCTTTTAACACACATTTAACAGAGAAATAAAAACCGTATAAATAACAAAAATAAATAACTGTTTTCTCTTAGTCTTATTAAGTGCAAACAATAAGTGCGAGTGCAACCATAATCAAAGTTAGCACACAGACTCTTTATAATTGTTGTGAAATTGCGGTTTTATTTTGCACCGGCAGTTATAGGGTTAATGCGGTGAGTTCGGAAAAGGCCGAGAGAAACGAGGCTGTTTGTCTCTACAGTTGTTCTTGCGTTCCGATTATAAGTTCAGAAACGGAGCCTCCCTTGTCTGTTGTCCTTTGTACGTTACAGTGCTCTCTCAATATTCGCAGTGCCAACAGAGACCAGAGCCGCAAATAAACAGTCCAGAGATGGGTATTGGGAGACGGATTATTTTATGTATGCAGCCTAATTTGTGCGCAATGCACATCAGGGAGCTTGTGTTTTACTTTCACTTACAAATTCGTGACCGCGCGTATAGGGAGCAGCGGTGCTGAGCGCGCATTCTAAATGATAAGACATTTACCAGACGTTTAGTCTGTTGCGCAACGAATCCTCCGCCATCGTCACGCGATCAGTGAACTGTGATTCGTGCTGCACTGATTGCAACGGCAACTCGCGCTGGATGAGCAGAGCAGACTTTTGCATTAGTTTATAATGGTTTTTATTTTTTTATAAAAACAACAAAACGATAGTTTAGGCGAATGTGAGTGTAGCGGTGGAATATTAATGGGGATATCGCGAGACAGCTTTTTCACTCGACGAGAAATCTCGTCATATTTAGTCTCGCGAGATCTCGTGGCACGAGATCTCGTCACACCCCTAGTATAGGATATTACTGTTTTAAAAATGTAAAGGATTTGGGCCCACCGGTGGGCCCGTGACACTTAAGGGGTTAAGCTAGTCTCAGACTAAAATGCATGTTTGAGCTGTTTTAACAGAAAGTAACTTGCACTGAGATATCTTAAAATATGTCAGTGTCATTGTTTTGTGACAAGATGCACACCAGTAATGATTTTTTTCTAAGGCATGTTTATAAAAGCTACTTAAATGCCCTAATTGAACTAATGCCTAATCCTGGCTTAATCTAAGCCCTGTCTGTGAAACCAGGGGCCTATCATGAAGGCGCTTTAGGTGGCTAGCCAGTTTCAGTTTAGTTTGCGCCAACCCTGGGTTTTAGGCACCATGAAAGTGGTTTGGAGTGTTCATCGCCATAGTAACTTACACTGCACGGCTAAACGTACCGGGGCAGGTTATGTTCCAGGTAAGAGGTTGCAAACCGAACCGAACTTGGATCAATCAGCTGTGAGCAAAGGATAAAGTCACTCCAAATGTTTCTACTCCAAATTAAAGGTCACTACATAGCAAATGATTTTTAAAGACAATATCGTCTGGCCTTTACTAGTGCTTATTTAGAATAATAATTCTGTATGATTTAGATATTAGATACCCTTAATCAATCACACATGTACAATTTTAGTTAATCAATTATTATTACGCATTATTACGTTTAAATTAATAAATATATGAAGGTAATATAAATACACTTTAGAATCAATAGCTAAATCTATAAAAATGACTACATGTGAGCTTAAATGTTCAATTCTCTCTATACCTTTATCAACTGCATAAATTAACTTCACAGCTTTTACTTGCACTGATATAGCAAGACTTTTTCTTTTACTTGTCCTCTTTCATAGACGGCTATTTTCTTCTTGCTGTGTAAATTTGTTTAAATTCGTAATATTTTTCACTCTTGTGATATTCTGCAGAAGAGAGAAGTGAATCGCGCTGTTTCTCTCGCGAGAAATGAATCGCAGTTTCACTCTTTCTCAGCGTGTGATTGGCTGTTCGCTACTGATGTCACACCTAAACTCCTAAACTCAGGGTCATAGCCTGAGTTAACAGAAAAAGTTGATGATCAGCATCATGGTACCAACAGAGCAAGGTTGGATTGGTTTGGTTTTGTCAACTCGAAACTAATCCTGTAACCCTGAGTTTGTTTACCTACCATCATGGTACAGGCCCCTGGCCAGATATCTGTGGTATTGTTATTGTTCATATCTCGCACTGCCATCTACTGGTCAGTGTGGTAGTTTAAGTGGGGCTATTATGAATGGCCTGCAAGCAGGAGCTAAAAATATACTAAATTCTGCAGTAATCAAATTCAGTTCATAGTAGATAATGAAAATAGAGGTTTTATCTTGTGCTTTAATGGCACTATTGTACCACGTTCTGATGGAATCACATTATCTCTACAGAACAATGAACTGCCGGAGGATCTTACGAAGAACGAACGCATACTAAGAATCCTGCGCCTGCCGATGCTGAATGGAGAGAGTTGATGACTGCTGTGTTTATTTTTATGCCCATGAAAAATGAATGCACTACTTCTCAGTCCCAGGAGACTGAAAACAGAGCAGTCGCTGCCTGCAACATCTTTCCAGTCTCGTTCAGTGGATGCTTGAAGCTTCAGATCGACAACACAAATGCACTGAAAAGCAGAATTGCTTATTCTTCATCCTTGAAATGTTATGACATACTGTATTAATGTCATTGGATTTTTGTTTTCAGTCTAAAGCATATATTAAAGGTGCTCTGTGTAATATTTTTTGACTGTACAAAAGCATAAAAATACCATAATATGTTTGCAGATAGTTCAAATAGTTGTTTCTTTGAAAAACAATGCTACAGCCAATTATTCTACTTTGAAATGTGAGTTCCGTGTCGGAATGTCCGGTTTTGTTTTGTCCTGTGTGACTCCGCCCACTGCCAATTTACCCAATAGTATTTCGACTCCCCGGGTTTGGCATTTGGCGGAAAACACCGCGATGGAAGCCAGCAAACACACCAAGTCAGAGATCGAAAATTCTACCCGACCTAAATATCCTCGGCAATAAAAACATTGCAGACGTATACATTCGCTGATCAAGTTATACTGCAGTCTGCAAGGCTTTCTATTGTGAATTACGCTTGTTTCTGTTGTGTGGCCTCAAATCTGGCAACCCGCCTGAGCGTGGATTCTGAGGAGGAGATGGCGGAAAAAAATGCATCTTTAAATTTGCAGATTTTATAAGAAGCAGCAGTTTATGCTCATTTAAAACATTTTTTTAGCAATGTTAGAATGTCTTTTAGCCTGCAAATGTAGCCTATTTTAATTATCAGCATGTTTTCATGAATCATTGGACAAAAAGTCACAACCAAACAAAAAGCTCATTATTTAGAAAAAAAAAAAAATTGTTGGCTCTGATGAGTAGCTTATCTTGTCATATTTATTTTCTGCTGCAATGCATTTTGGACTATATTTTATTTACTTTTCAGAAAATCTTGGGTGCTTAAATGTTCGTTTTCTTAACATTTTATTCTGCATTTTGTCTGTGTGAGAAGCGTGTTAAACTGTATGTTTCTCAAATCAATAAATGTAAAAGAAAATGTTGCTTTTTAATGTCTTATTAAAAAAATATTTATTTGATTGCATACACAATTTTCTTTTTAAACATTACTGGCACCATTTTTTTTGTGTGTGTGAATTAATTGTTGGGTTTTTGACAAGTAGGTTTTCTTGCTATAAATTTATTTTCTGTTGAAATGCATTTTGGACTTTTATTTTATTTAAAAATGTCACCCTTGGTGCTTAAATATGTGCTCCCCTGAATATGAGAATTGTGGTTGAAATGTTTTTTTTGTTTTGTCAAAACAATAAATGTAAAATAAAATGCTGCTTTTTAACGTATTTTATGAGGGAGTGAACTAAATTAAATGGGCATATATATTATATATATATATAGTTTTAGTAAACTAGTATTTTTTTTATTTTTGCTACGTCACAATGGAGGCGTGTCTGATAGGCGGAAAAGGTGTGGCATGAAGCCTGTCACCCGTGACGTCACGGTAAACACTCAATGCGGAAGTGCGCTAGGACGCACAGATTTACCAACACACCGCGATTCTGCGTTACATTCATTTAAAAATGTTTAAACTTGAACCGTAACAAATCATACGTTCTCCTTCAAATCACCGTCAACAATGACGAATGCCAATTTACAGGTAAGAGACTTTACAAGTGGTATGACAGTCGTCATAATAATTGGCCTTTTCATGTATTGGCCATGCTATATAATATGTATTTTTTTTTTGCATTTGTAGTCTTTTTTGTTTTGCTCTAGTTAAATGTAAGACACAATAGAGTCTAAAATATTCATGATATTGTTCAGTTTTAGCATATATATTGGTTTGGCAGGTAAATACGGTAGCTGCTATGCATTTTGTTCATGTTACCTAGGAGGATTGTTTACGTTTTCGATACATACATAACGTTACATACATACATGCATACATACATACATGTAAGAAGGTGCTTATTAACTTATTTGCTACATTTGGTAAAGGTTTTTTAACTAGTGTCTGTTGTGTATTCCTCAGCCTGTCCTTAAACTGGTCTAACCAGTTATCCGTACATTACACCACATAACACGGACAGTCCAACAGATTTCATTTCGAGATTTTAAACATTTCATTAACTTCAGGCATTTTTATGTTTCACTTTTATGTTGTTATTGTTTTAGTCCTGTCTCAGACTTTAATTTTAACTATATTATTCATTTGAATAAGAAACATCAAGAGAAATATGGAGCAGAATAATTTTATTTTATTTACAATCAAGCTCATTTTATTAATCAAATTATGCAAAAAGTGTGAAAAAATATTGAATTGTGTGCATTTCTGAAAAATAAAATAAAATTAGAATGAGTTGCTAATGTTAAAAATGACATTTCCACTGCAAAATAATGTTAAATATAATATGGATATGGAGGAAATGACCTGGCCAAAAGTGCCTGTAGTTGATGAAATGTCCGTCTGTAACACGTTGAGGCCGATGACAGGTCCCATCTATCTTTACTTCTGTGAAATAGAAAGCCATTGATTTGGCCAGCAGAGCCTCGGAGGAGGACAAGGCGAAAAACTATCAGGAAGCTCTGCGCCTCTATCAACATTCAATCCAGTATTTTCTTCATGTGGTGAAGTGTAAGCTTTTTTCAAGCAATTTAAATACATTTATATTTACTTAAACATTTTATATTTATTGGGAAAATATTTTTTATAAAATAAAAAATATAAATGCACTTTAAATGAATAGTATAATAACATTTTATTATTAGATATTAAATGATAATTATAAATGTATTTTTATGAGCCAATATGTAGTCTTATATGTATATAGCTAAATATTTAATATACATTTAAAACTCTCTCTATATATGTGTTTGTGAGAGTGTGTGTATTAATATACAGTATATATATATATATATATATATATATATATATATATATATATATATATATATAATATGTAAAATATATAGCTATGTACATATAAGACTACATATTGGCTCATGAAATACATTTATAATTATCATTTAAACATTAATATTATTAAAACAACATTATTTCATTAATATTTATATATGATATACTATTAATATAGTAATTAATATAATATACTATTAATTTAAAGTGCATTTACATGTTTATTTTATAAAAAATGTTTTGCGTCCCTCCATTGTTTTTATTGTTCATATCTAAAATATTGTTTGTTTTATTGTACTTTTATATATAAAATTTCATATCTTACATTTATGAAATTAATTGAATCCAAAAACATATTGAGCGAAAATACATGAACCAATGAAGGCACGTTTTTTGATGTTTTATTGTGCAGATGATTATAATTGATTTGATATTATTTAAATATTAAATAATATTTTAACAATTATTATAAATATATTTCATAAGCCAGTCTGTTGTCTTATAATAAATGTATATTTATTTGTATATTTAATCAAAAAAAATTGTTTTATTTAATTTTAAACATTGTGTATTTTTATATACTGTTATTTGATCCCCCATTAAATGTACATTAAATGCAATTTAGTGAGCAAAACATTCATGACCTTTTTGTGTTTTATTTATTTATTTTTGATGTTGTAGATAATTATAATTTATTTATAATATCATTTAAATATTCAATAATTTTTCAATTATTATAAATGAATATGTAGTTTTATTATACATGTATATTATTTAAATTTAAATGTGTTTTATTTTTATATATTGTCATTCAATATATATATATAAAACAATTCGATGCCTCATTAAATGCAATTTAGTGAGAAAAATGACGAGCTACTGGTGGCGTGTTTTGCTTATGTTGATGTTTTATGGTGCAGATGATGCTCAAGGGGAAAAGGCCAAGCAGAGCATCCGAGCAAAGTGTGCCGAGTACCTGGACCGAGCGGAGCAGCTCAAGCAGTACCTGAAGAAGAAAGAGAACGCGCCGCCCTCCAAACCTGTCAAAGTTCCCCAGTCTGATGAGAAAGGGTGAGGCGCTCCACTTCCTACTGAATCGGCTAATGAACTTCCTGTTAAACAGAAACCGAAATGTAACATTCTGTTTTTACAGGACCGACAGTGATGATGGCGATGCAGAGAAAAAGAAATTCAAAAATCAACTCCAGGGTACGACATTTTGTGCTGTACAGACTTTTTAAAGTCAGAATGGGATCTACAAACAAAAACCTTGGATTTTCACACTTTTCAGGTGCTATTATCATGGAGAAGCCCGACATTAAGTGGGATGATGTTGCTGGTTTGGAAGGAGCCAAGGAGGCCCTTAAAGAAGCGGTCATCCTGCCAATCAAATTCCCTCATCTTTTCACTGGTATGACGGGTTACATACTAAAAGAAATATGCATGAAAGTGTCTGAACTGTTCTAAACATCATTATCCACAGGGAAAAGGACTCCATGGAGAGGGATTCTGCTCTTTGGCCCTCCGGGAACAGGGAAGTCCTACCTGGCCAAAGCAGTGGCTACCGAGGCCAACAACTCCACGTTCTTCTCCATCTCATCATCAGACCTGGTGTCCAAGTGGCTGGGAGAGAGCGAGAAGTAAGTGATCTTCAGATGTTGAGTGCCAATGATTTTCACATCTGGCATAATTCATTAGGTTAGTAACACTTGAAATATATAAATACAATTTAAATTAATATTATTTTGATATTCAAATAAATAACTTATTTACAAAAATATTAATCAATATTAATAGTATTATTTAAATATTAACTATAATATTATTATACATGGATTTCTCGAGCCAATTGCAGGTGTATATTTTAAAATTTCTAAATTTTGTGGATTTAATAATTTTATCGTTACTTAACATTTCATACATTATATATATATTATTTATTTTCAGTCACCATTTTTTTGCATTTCATGTTTTATGTAAACCATGAAATCTATTAATCATATATATATAATGATTAAAAGATTTCATGATGATTTTTATTGTGATTTTAAAGTGTGTATAATTTATAATTATTAAAAATAATTATATTTACGTCTTGTTTAAGTCTCATTGTACTTATAAATAAAAATTTGCCATTTTTTACACTTTATAATTTACTTAATATATATTATATACTTATTTATGATTATATATTAATATAGTGTATTCATAATAATACATTTTTAATGTCCTATTACCTCAATATGGTCTCAGTACGTCTCGTGCATAGATGTTTGTGTCTTGGTCATATTGATTCCTTCTGTCTTCATTATTAGTAATACTGTTATCATCTTTAGGTTAGTGAAGAATCTGTTCAGTTTGGCTCGGGAGAACAAGCCTTCAATCATATTCATTGACGAGATCGATTCCTTGTGCGGCTCGAGAAACGAGAACGAGAGTGAAGCGGCCCGCAGGATCAAGACAGAGTTTCTGGTCCAGATGCAAGGTAAACACAAAGCTAGCGTTAGCTTTGTCGCAAGCAAAAACATTTTTTGGTGTCATCTGGGTCTCATTTGACAGGGTTATTATTGTTTTGAAAATGTGACATGTATTTTGTTACATTTTTTTTGTCTTCAATATATTGATATTTTTAATTTATTATATTATTGATTATTACCTTAATTGTCCCATTCTCACAGGTGTAGGAAACGACAACGAAGGAATTCTGGTCCTTGGTGCGACCAACATCCCCTGGACTCTGGATTCTGCGATCAGGAGAAGGTGCGTTATAGAAATCCATACACATTTTGATTGTTTTATTGGCACTTGTTTATTGTTATATTATATTATTACAGGTTTGAAAAGCGCATCTACATCCCTCTCCCTGAGCAGCCCGCTCGCACCTCCATGTTCAAGCTGCACCTCGGCTCCACCCTCAATAGCCTCAACGAAGCTGATTTCATCACTCTGGGGAAGAAGTCCGACGGCTACTCGGGTGCCGACATCAGCATCGTCGTTCGCGACGCCCTCATGCAGCCCATTCGCAAAGTCCAGTCCTCGACTCACTTCAAAAAGGTACGAAAGGACAATTGCGCGACTAGTAAAGCAGTCTAATCGATCCGATTATATCCTTTCGTGTCTGTTTTAACAGGTCAGAGGAAAGGCATGGAACAACCCGGATGATGTCGTGGATGACCTCTTGACGCCCTGCTCCCCAAACGACCCAAACGCAGTCAAGATGACCTGGGTGGACGTGGCGAGCGATAAACTCCTGGAGCCGATAGTTAGCTTGGTAAGCTCAAGTTTAGTAAAAAAGAATGTGTTGAAATCCCAGAGCTTGTTTTGATCTTGTGGTCTGTGTCTCAGGAGGACATGTCCAGGTCACTCGAGAAGACCAAGCCCACCGTGAACGAGGAGGATCTGGTAAAGCTGAAGAAGTTCACTGAGGACTTTGGGCAGGAGGGCTGAAATTTTGTATTCTTGTGGCATTTATTTATATTTTTTCCCATTATGTTTACAAAGTCCTTTCTGCATCTTTTATTTTTCAAACTCTTCATTTTGGCATTTTCTGGGGGTGAAACTTTTTTGCGAGCTGAGCTGGCTTTATATCGTCCTGACCATATCCGATCAGTGGTTATGACTTTGGGGATGATTAAGCATCAGCAGCCATGTGAAACAAATCAAAACTACTAAAGATCTTCTAAACATAAGAGGTTTGTTACAAATGGACCCTGATGATTATACCAAGACTTTTGGGAGACTAAAACAAAAGTTTGGCTACTTGTGGCTTAATGGCTAGTCACTTTTGTACCTCATCGCTAAATAAGACCTTAGCTCAAAGAAACACAAAAACAGTAAATTACTAAACTTTGAACCAAAAGACAACCACAGATCTGTGAAAAAGTGTTTACAAATATGTGAATACATGTTTTGGGTAATCAGACTTGTCTAGATGTCTCCTTTGAAGTTTATTTTTCTACTCTGTATTTCTACTTTCATCTGTAAATAAAATGTATAAATTACCTCTGATCGCGTGTTTTTCATGTCTTGTTTTTACTTTGATCAAATGATTACACGCAGGACTTGAAAGAAATGGCAACCAGAAAAATACCAACACTAAACGGCAGGGAGCGCTATAACACAGTGACGCAGCACAATACAGGAACGTCATTTGCGTGACCACGTCACTCTTAAAGTAAAGCATGTCCTTTAGTGTTTTCAAAATTGGCTTTTTTATGGAACATTGCAGTGTTTATTATATAGTATTAATCTGTGCACGTATTCTTTATTATATAGTATTAATCTGTGCACGTATTCTTTATTATTATTAATTAGAAAAATAATTAATAAAATCTTAATTAAAAAATATTAACGTGCCCAATCCAGTTGCTTGTTTTAAGAATTTTCAAGGAGTCCCAAAGGGGTGATTGTATCTAATGTAAAATTAATTTGACAATTGATACATAATGAATAAACTGACCAAATAAATCACAGGACATCTTATTTTAATAGTTTATAAATAACACACTGATGATTATGTTGGTATATTTTAAAACATAACATTTAAACTGTGTTTTTGAGGACCAAACAACATAGCAATAAAGAAAAAAAAACACATTTGAAATGATATAAGCATATCTCAGATGAAAATGTCATTTTTCCAAATCATTGGTTCATTAAAGTGTTAAACTGAATCATGACCTGAAATCCATTCTGATAAATCCTGTATAAATTAAACAATGATGATTATTATCACTTATATTATATCTTCATAATTATACCTGCTAAGTAAACACAACAGTCAAATCGATCACATAATTGTGTAAATGTGACAGTAAGTCTAAACAATCACAAGTCGATCCAACTTTTCCCTGAAGTTTCCCTTATCGCATCCCATCACAAACACTGGGAATAATCATTGTCTAGTTAATTGGAAATATGTAACATTTAATATTAACTCTTAAGAGAGAGAAAGCTACAAATAGGAGTCAAGACCAAATCAAAATCACAGAAATTTTTCAACCCAAAATTATCTCACAAAGAAAGTGTAAAGTTTCCACAAAAAAGGGAAAAATACACACTTGATATTAACACTGGGAATAAATAAACACAATTAAATGAAGGCCACCACAAACAAAACAAAGGGAAAGAAAGGAATAACAACCAGAAAAGGTGCGGTAGAATTAAGGACGCACTCTTTACTCCTTCCTGAATAACATCGCAACTGCCGTCACAGTATTAATAATGCATCATCATCATTAGTATTATTTTCCTGTCAAATTAGCTTTAAATTAATATTTCACACAAAGATAAAAAATCTGCCATTATTTACTCGCTCTAAAATAGCTTGAAACGCATATGATTTTTAACGTTATTAAAAAATTATTAATGATTTTAATAACGTTATTATTATTATAAAAAAAAAAAAAATTATTCCGACAGAATTTTTATTTTTGAGTGAACTATTCCTTTTTCAAAAAGAGACTGTCACAAACATATTAATTTTGAAAAATGTTGGCTTTACAGCTGCAAGCGACACACTGAAAACAGTTTCACGAACTAATAGAAAACAAAACAGGTTACCCATCATTCATTTCATCAGGGTCTGTTCCATTTCTTCATAGGGCATCATTAGTGTAAGACGACAGACACAATAGACACTTTGTCTTATTCAAGAGCGGATGACCTTTAAACCTTACTGATTATCCTTATCTCGAGGCTAGCCGCCAATACTTTAGTGTACATCTTTGTAAGTTACAGATTAAATTTGCAAAGCAAACACTTTTGTGGTGCATAATAAGCTTTGGTACAAAGACGAATACAGAAAAGCAAGCAAACGTACCCCCAGCCCGGCTACATTATCAGACCTGCGCGTTACGAGGCGTAAAGGCAAAGTTAAAACAGCACGGGAACAGTGTCCCGTGCTGTAGGTCAGGAGGGGTAGGGCTGGGTTCACGCAAATACATTAGAATACGGAAAATAGAGAGCCGAGGGCCAATCCCGTCGCAGCGCCGGCCAACATCCCCAAAGCAACATCACCTGTGTCGTCACGACGACGCTCCTGCACTATCACGTGGTTGACGCCGGGTGCATATCCACCTGATGGAAACAAATAAACAAAGGTCAATCAAACTACATAGAGGTCATAGGTCAAAAGCCAACCAACTTCCTGTTACCTTGATAATGATAAGGGTAAGCAACTGCATACTGCTGCCCATCTGCAGAATAGACCGTCTGTGTGGCGTAAGGCGGAGGATGAGAAACATAACCGCCATATCCATCAGGATAGAAAACCTAGATCAACAAGAACATAAAATAGGGATGCATGATTTGTCGGTATCATATCAGGTATATATATTTTTTTATTATTATTATTGGTATCTGTATACATTTGTGTATGATCAGTTCCCTAATGTTTTAAATTTAGATTTTGTTTTTTTCATTTATTTGATATTTATTTTAGGTTTGTTATACATTTAAATTATTTATATGTTTTTATTTGTATTTATTTTATTTTTGTAATATTTAATCATATTTTAATTATAAAATGTGATTAAATATATTTTTTTTTATTCCATTATAAAATGATTAAATTATAAAAATGAGTAAAATTGTAAATTATAACATTTGTTACATTTATAAAATTTAAAGAACAATAGTTGTAATAATAATGAATAACTATAATTTATTTAGCCGAAAAAAGTATAGAATTTTAAAATTAGCCATAAAGTGAAAATAATTATTGGAAAACAATTGACATTTAGTGTCCTGTTTTCCTCCACTGAACTAGTTGAAACTGAAAACATCATTTCAAGCAGTGTTTTATTGTTTTATTTTATTTTTTCTTTCATTCTGATAACCTGTTTATAGCAGCCAATATACTTTTAAGTGTCACTTGTAAATGTAATCCGACCTCAATAGTTCTTCCTGGTCAAGCAAGTTTCTTAACTAAACAGAAATGGAAAAAAAGTCAACATCTAAAAATAGCTTTAGAGTGCGTGTTCACATTTGTCAGGTTTGGTTAGATTAAAACGAACCCTGGTACGATTGCTCTGTTAGTGCGGGTCATTTGAATAAGTGTGAACGCTGCCATCCGAACCCTGGTGCGCACCAAACAAGCGGACCGAGACCTCTGAAAAGATTTGTCTCGGTCCGCTTCCAAACGAACTCTGGTGCGAATCGAATGAAATATGAACGCAACACGGACCAAAGACATGTAAACGAACCAAAAACAGCTGGTTTTTGTTTTGTATCTTTAGCTTCGGTGTTAAAAAAGACAGTGAGAACGCTAAGTGAACCAGGTATCATTTTCTTTTTTAGTCTGGACCCAAAGAACCGAAGTACAAGTGTGAACACACCCTTAAAACACATTCAACCACATAAACTGGACATAAGCCATTTTCCCTTTAAATATCAATAGGAGGATATATTTATTACCTGTGGAGTTGGATTTAATTCAGAATATGGCGGAGGCGCTGATGCTACGACGTCCTCTGCAAAACCGATCTGAGAGGGCGCCACAACCTACAAAACACACCAATGCATGACAGAAAATGCCTCTGTAATGCTTCCGAAATGTGAAAGATCAAATATGTATGTGTCACTCAGTGAATATATAACTCACAGTGTTGAGTCTGGCATCCTGGAGGGCCATGGTCCAAGCCCTGCGAGAAAATACATCGAGTTTATATTGAGGAATCTCATTTTAAAGCACACATTGTAAAATAATACTGAGAAACTGGACTCACAAAGCATCGTCTGCACTGTCTGCGCAGATGCTGATGATCCGACCGTCCCGGCAGACGATCTGCAGGAGGGAGTCTTTGCTTTTGCCTTCGGGTGGCGCGAGATCTGGGAATAAATAATGGAGGATGTAGAACAACAACACATCAGAACTTTTAATCTTGTGTTGGACAAAAACCTCTCAAGCACTACATAAAAAGGCACTTTTGAGGCTTTCTCGTGTCCTGCGGTTTAAAAGCAGAAGGAAAGACAGATCACACCCACCTCTACAAGCGCTGGAGTTGCGGATGTTGATGCAGTCCACCTTCATGTGGATCTCGTCTTCCATGTCCCGCCGCTGCTGGTCATCGTAGAAGACCAGACGTCCATCTGACCAGAGGTCAAACCAGTTCCTTTTCCAGCGCCGCAAGATGGTGCCTGATAGATGACAGCAGTTAGTCACAGGCAGTATTCATTTATTTTGTTGCTGTTGTTTTTATTTAATTACTTTTTAGAATTATAAAATTTTATAAAAATATTATTTTTTAAAATTATATTATTAAATAATTTAAGTAAAAAGGTATGTTATATGTATGTATATATTTATGTTATAAATGTATTCAATTATAAAATAACTACACATATATCATTTAGATAACATATATATATTATTTTTTAATTATATTATAAAATAATTAAATATATAAGATGTATTAATATTTTCATATAATACATTTATTATAAATTAATTTAATACAAATTTTTTTTACATTATATTATAAAAATTATAAAAAATAAAGTATAAGTTGTATTAATTATGTTATAAATGTATTAAATTATAAAAATCATTTTAATTATAATTTATTTAGACAAAATAATTTTAATAACAGCCATGTTTTAATTACATGTAAAAAATAAAAACATTTTTAATTTATATTATAAAATAACTTAATGTATCAAATTTATTTATATTTTTATATTATATATTCATTATAAATTTATTAAATTACAAAGATAAAAAAAGATTGCTTGTAAATCTAATCTGACCGCTATAGTTCTACCTAATCAAAACTATCTATAAAATAAAAAAGAATCAAACAGAAATCATGAAGTCAACATCTAAAAATAGCTTTAAAACACTTACAAGAATAACAAGATGCAGCCTAGATAGTCAGCTCACTAGGTTTTGAGACACAGTCAAAGACAAAGTTCAGCTGTTTTTCAACTTCCTTCTAACAACTCATGCCTAGACAACTTGTCAAGAAGAGGAAGAAACTAGTCGTTCATGACTGCTTTACTGAAGTGAATAAAAACTGAAAACTAAACTGAAAAGCTTTTCAATTCACCCTCCAAGCATAAACACTTTCCATAATTTATTTATATTTCATGAGTTCCCAGAAGGCTTTAAATTATATAAGTGCAACTTAATATTGTAAATGTATCACAAAACATCCCAAAATGCTCAAATTCGACATAAAAATTCTTCGTTGTAGTTATTTTGGGCTTTTTAATGCCATAAATATGGTGTAATAAACACTCACTCTGTCTGTGCAGCCATCCGCTCTTCACAAACGCCATCCCACTACCTAAATAAATAAAAACAATACCATTAAAGCCTGCTAAGACCAATTTAGGTGTTGAATATTAAACTGAGACCATATACGTGTAGATATTGCCTCTGTTTTATAGTAAATATAGTTTAGCGGTTGAACTTCTCCGCCTGTCTGTTTCAGAGTTAGCTTGCGCTCGAGGCGCCGTTATGCTAAAATCGACGATAAACCGACAAAAACAAACATCCCAAGATGTTTAAAAACAACGAAACACGTTTAAAAAGTACGTTTGTCATATTTATGTTCTATTAAATGGATGAAATGAGTAAATCTACCCTCTATCGGTTTGTTGATGTTTGAAGTGTATATGTGCGACTAGCAAAGTGACATCAATAGCATCCTCCTCCTCCTCTCAGCTCAGCTGATGCCTTATGTCACTGTATCAGATGATCAGCACGACTTTTATTAAGTTTCACAGACTCTTATTAACTTTACTAACATGATAATAAATATATTATCATTAATAAAGACTATATATTTTTTTAATAAAGTAAATTAAACATATTAGCCTACATTACAATTAACTACTAAAATTTTTACGTAGGCCTATTGTTTTTAATATAGCCTAATATTAATAATATTGTGTGTGTGTGTGTGTGTGTGTGTAATATCATAAATTAAGACTTTATATTAAACTGTAGTATTAAATATATTATTTTTTAACATCATTTTCTTAACAAATTCATTAAATGTTCCCTTTTTTCTGTATATCAGTGACAAATAGAATTTACTTTGTCTTTTGCAGCTTTTTTCTTTAAAGATGACAATAGCTTGCATGAACCCCATAGAAATTTTAAATAATATAAATAATAGATTAAAATAACAACCCATTCCAAAGCCAATACGTGACATTAATTTGAAAATCCACACATAAACCATCCGTTTCAAAAGTGCATAAACACTACACCACATTTAAACAAAACAGTCATATCAGACAAAACATGACACCACTAGATGGAGCAGTTTCACTGGAAATTGGGTGAAGAAAAACGTCCATTGCTCTAACATTTATACACAAACCCATTTATAGGTTGTCTTTTAACTGATAAGAAACCAGGTGAAATTTTTTTTTGCATTTGCATCTGCAGTCATCATGTTACACATCACACTGCATTTGCCTAAGCCTTATCCTCAGTGTTTCCCTCAGTGACCTTTCCCACACACAGCTTAGTGAATGAGGGTCAAAACGAAATGATACTGAATTACCGAAGCCTCTAAACCCAGAACCCAGTTTATGAACCAAGACTGCCTTTGAACACTTCACATTTGCATTAACACCAACAAACCGAAACACAAACCATTTTGTGATCCAGTTTATAGTTCAGAAGTTTACAGTAATATGGCGCAACATTACTGTTATGAGAACAGATAGGCCTGATCTAATCCGACTGTAACCTGTGGACGGTTGTCACTTCCACAGCTGGGATCAGAGCAGCACGAGATACACTCACCTAAAGGATTATTATAGGAACACCATACTAATACTGTGTTTGACCCCCTTTCGCCTTCAGAACTGCCTTAATTCTACGTAGCATTGATTCAACAAGGTGCTGAAAGCATTCATTAGAAATGTTGGCCCATATTGATAGGATAGCATCTTGCAGTTGATGGAGATTTGTGGGATGCACATCCAGGGCACGAAGCTCCCGTTCCACCACATCCCAAAGATGCTCTATTGGGTTGATATCTGGTGACTGTGGGGGCCATTTTAGTACAGTGAACTCATTGTCATGTTCAAGAAACCAATTTGAAATGATTCGAACTTTGTGACATGGTGCATTATCCTGCTGGAAGTAGCCATCAGAGGATGGGTACATGGAGGCCATAAAGGGATGGACATGGTCAGAAATAATGCTCAGGTAGGCCGTGGCATTCAAACGATGCCCAATTGGCACTAAGGGGCCTAAAGTGTGCCAAGAAAACATCCCCCACACCATTACACCACCACCACCAGCCTGCACAGTGGAAACAAGGCATGATGGATCCATGTTCTCATTCTGTTTACGACAAATTCTGACTCTAACATCTGAATGTCTCAACAGAAATCGAGACTCATCAGACCAGGCAACATTTTTCCAGTCTTCAACTGTCCAATTTTGGTGAGCTCTTGCAAATTGTAGTCTCTTTTTCCTATTTGTAGTGGAGATGAGTGGTACCCGGTGGGGTCTTCTGCTGTTGTAGCCCATCCGCCTCAAGGTTGTGCGTGTTGTGGCTTCACAAATGCTTTGCTGCATACCTCGGTTGTAACGAGTGGTTATTTCAGTCAAAGTTGCTCTTCTATCAGCTTGAATCAGTCGGCCCATTCTCCTCTGACCTCTAGCATCAACAAGGCATTTTCGCCCACAGGACTGCCGCATACTGGATGTTTTTCCCTTTTCACACCATTCTTTGTAAACCCTTGAAATGATTGTGCGTGAAAATACTCAGACCGGCCCGTCTGGCACCAACAACCATGCCACGCTCAAAATTGCTGACATTCAGTTTGGAGTTCAGGAGATTGTCTTGACCAGGATCACACCCCTAAATGGATTGAAGCAACTGTCATGTGATTGGTTGATTAGATAATTGCATTAATGAGAAATTGAACAGGTGTTCCTAATAATCCTTTCGGTGAGTGTATATCTAACTGCAGAACCACAGAACCACACGTCACAGCAGTCAGTGGACAGCAGCTCCAGGCCAGCAGCCTCATACATGAAGTTAGGGTGGCACTGATGATTGCATATCCTGCCTCAACCATATACTCTTCACTATAACTATATGCTCTACCTTAATGGCCAACCCCACCCCAACACTGAAGCTACCCTTAAAGGGATAGTTCACCCAAAAATAAAAAATTACCCCATGATTTACTCACCCTCAAGCCATAGGTGTATATGACACTCTTCTTTCAGACGAATACAATCAATCGGAGTTATATTAAAAAATGTCCTGGCTCTTCCAAGCTTTATAATGGCAGTGAATGGCCGTTTCTGTTTGGAAGTCCATCAAAGTGCATCCATCCATGATAAAAGTGCTCCAAGGCCTTCTGAAGCGAAGCGATGCGTTCATGTAAGAAAAATATCCATATTTAAAACTTTATCGACTAAAATAACTAACTTCCGACAGACGGGCGTACGCATCGTTTTACGGGGAAAGACTAACCCTTGACCTGAGGCACAACGTAATGACGAACGCGGAAGCGCAGAGGATAGAGCAAAACAAAACACCAGTCACGAATTAGAAGTCTAAAACGACAATTTTTTAAGAGAAATATCGGAGGAGCTTGAGTTTGTTGCCCAGCCATTTGTTTGAACACCGAGAGGCATCAAAGCTTACGCTACTCCTACATCCTACGTCATACATCGTCAAGTGTTACTCTTTTGGCGTAAGTAGACTTGCGTAGGCCGTCTGCCGGAAGCTAGTTATTTTAGTCGATAAAGTTTTAAATATGGATATTTTTCTTACATGAACGCATCGTTTCGCTTCGCTTCAGAAGGCCTTTTTTAACCCCCCTCGGAGCCGCATGGAGCACTTTTATCACGGATGGATGCACTTTTATGGACTTCAAAACAGAAGAAGTTTCTTCTCTTACAGAAACGGCCATGCACTGCCATTATAAAGCTTGGAAGAGACATTTTTTAATATAACTCCGATTGAATTCGTCTGAAAGAAGACACCTAGGATGGCTTCAGGGTGAATAAATCATGGGGTAATTTTTATTTTTGGGTGAACTAACCCTTTAATGATGCTATAAACTCCCCAACACCGGTCTGAGACTGCTGGCCTGGCACTGCTGTCCTCACATTGCTGTGACCTGTGGCTCTGCGGTTCTGCAGTTGGTTGGCACAGCTGAGCTCATTCCAGTGCTGGATGAAATAATCTCATTTGATCCTCATTGACTCATACTGGGGAGGCTCATGGAGGCCAGATTGAAGTGATTTACGCAACAATGTCTCGCCAATGGTTGGCTGTTGCGGATTTTGTTTTGTCTTAATCTTTGGGCAGATTAACCGACCAAACCAATTGTGTGCCTCCATGAAACTAATGTGTGAGGAACTTGTGAAATCAAAACACTGCAAACTTCTTCTAGAGAAGATTATGTTGCTTGGAGGAAGTATAGCCAATGTATGGGGTCTTTTGGAAATACTGTGTTGGTTAGCTATGCACATGCCAGTGACTGAAAGGTAAGTGTCACAGAACTTGACATTAGTGCTTGTGCTGTTAAGTGAACTGTCTTTGAATGCTTTTTGTTACGTTTCATATGTGAGTACTAATTATAATGTTTCTGATTTAAACTACAAACAAAATGCTAATAAAAACCTAATAGCCAATGGTGTTTTTACAGTATACTGTAGATCTGCAAAAATGTCTAATAAAGATGTATCATCAAATCAAAACTTATAATACAAACTAATTATTTTGTTTTATAAAATATTATATAGTGATTAATATTATATAATAATGAATATTGAATATTTTATAGGCTTTATATATATATATATATATATATATATATATATATACATGATTTATTATATTATATTATGTATTGATTTTAATTTAAGATTTAAAATTGTATTAATTTATAAATATAATAAAATATAATTTAATTCTATATAAATTCTATAAATATAAAACTAGTATTTATATTATGAACTATATTACTATTATAGAATATTATATAATTAATTATTATTTAACATTTAAAATGGCATAAATAAAAAAATGAAATGAAAAATAAATATATATATATTATTCACATACACATATACACAATGTTAAATGTGATTAATCACGATTAATCGATTTGACAGTACTACTACTACTACTAATACTGTATATGGTTACTATTTATTAAAAATTTAAACCATTAAAATGTATAGTAATTTTATATTATAAATAATATAAAATAAATAATTAATATAGTTTTATGATATATATATATATATATAGTTCATACACACAAAACTATATTAATTAGTTATATATAATAAGAAAACTATATTATTTATTTGATATTACTTACTATCTAAAATTATATTACAATTTAATCATAATAATTGTAATATAATAATTAATTATAATAAAATTATTAAAATTTTGAGACTTTAAATAAATAAATAAATAAATGCCTTGCTAGTGCTAAGATGTAAGTCCTTGTGTTCGTTCGTCATCAGTTGGCCCAAGAAAACCTCCCTTCAGCATCCCATAAATCCCCCTCACATCCCTCTCTGTCTGATTTGCATGTAATTACAAGGTGCGCGTGAATGTGATGGGATGTTGAAAATTTCAGATAATGACTTTAGCTTACA